TGAAGTTTTTGAAAAGAAAAGTAAGGCTGGAGCATTGCTTTCTAAGAGATTAGAGCACTTGTACATTCTGGATAACAAAAATTTCACTAAATACATTTCTTATTTTCACTTATGCCACCAAAAATTTAGTCAAACTAATAGCTTAATCCCTATGCTGGCACAGGACTTTATGGATGATATGTTTGTTGTCACACTCTGTATCTGATTAATTGCAAATCCTATCTCTTGGTTTCCCTACTTTTCTGTTGCTGGTTAAGAGCAGAGGGTCTACTCTAACACATCCAATTTCTATCTTGTGCTGCTTACACTGAAAGTCTCATTTTCTCACCTGATTGACTTGGCTTTGCAAGTAGACTCTTCTGGCATTCAGATCTTCAAAGGGTGATGGTCTTATGTTTGAGCTTCTGTAAGGATCACTGGTGACAACTGTTTCTTGCTGGAAAAGGTGATCTTTCACGAGAGAACCTGAAGTGTCCTTTTCAGCTGTCTAATAGAACAACAGTCAAGTTAGAAGCTTTATCGCAGTTACTATGGATATAGGTATTACCATCAATATGAATGGCAAATCCCTAAACTCAAGTGCACAGAATTAGGGAGTCATGTCAAAATAAGAAATTTAGAAAGCAATTTAAGCTTTACTTTTTTTTTTTTTTAACTTTTGAGAATTTTATACATGAGAACTACTCTTAGATCACCCTACCCTGTCCTCTCCCCCACCTGCAGCTCCTTCCAATGAACAAAAGGACTTTATTAAAAACAACTCAGAAGAAATGGACAGATACTGTCAGAATAGGAATCTAATCATTAAGAAAGCCTTTAATAATACCAAAAATACATCAGATAATGAAACTAGGAGCAAATACAAACAAATATAACAATCTCTGTGTAAGTTACAATAAAAAGCACACAGTAAAAACTGTACTGAGGGTACAGTGAACAGAAACATGGAAAGCAGTAGGCCATGATCTTGCTGAATAAAAAGTTAGCCCGAGTTTGTTGATTTCTTACATGGACTTAAACCATCACAACCCAGCTAAGTAGGGGTAAATGCTCAACTAATGGCAATATTCCAAAATGTCAAAGCAATAATTTCCATAAAATAAATGTTAAGTGAAATTTAGCACACTATAAATGAAGCATCATTCAGATGTTAGAAATGCCCAACAACTGCTGGAGAATACAGGGCATACAATGTGTAATAAAGCAGAAATTACTTATAAATTGTGAGAAGCAAATCAATTATCTCAGACAATCTTAAACCCTAAGTGTTTGCCTATTACACTTTTTGCAGTAAGCTGAAAATTTACAAAGAAAATGTTATTTTTTTAACTGATATGAGGAAAAAGTTTTCTCATTCATTACTGATTCTTCACACACATAAGAAAAATCTAACAACCATTTCCAAAGGCAATTTTGGTAAATACCATTAATTGTTGGGGGCTGGAGAGGTGGCTCAGTGGTTAAGACCACTGGTTGCTCTTCCAGAGGACCTAGGTTCGGTTCCCAGCACCCACCTGGCAGTCAACAATTTTCTGTAACTCCAGTTCCAAGGGATCCCACACCTTCTTCTGGCCTCTGTGGGCATTGCGCGTATGGGTGCACTTACATGTAAGTTAAACACTTATACACATAAAGCAAATTGAAATACTTGTTAGCTATTTAAAAGCACAGATACTGTCAGGCATGGTGGCCACACCTTTAATCCCAATATTTGGGAGGCAGACGCAGGAAGATCTCTGAGATCCAGGCCAACCCAGCTCTATATAGTGGGTTCCAGGTTAGCTGGAGCAAGAGGAAGACCTTGTCTCAAAAAAACAAAACAAATAAAAAAGCACAGATACTTCTGAATTCATAAATTTTATTGTACTTTAGTTTCTAGTAAGGTTATCTTTATTTGAAATTCTAAGTAATCTCAAAAACTCCAAAACACAATTCCTTTCATAACTCTAATTCAAATGATCACGTTATTTTTTTTCTTTGCTGGATTTAAGAAGTGGGCTGAAAAGGTGGTTCGGTGGTTAAGAGCACTGGCTGCTCTTCCAGAGGATCTGGGTTCAGTTCCCAGCACCCACATGGTAGCTAACAACCATCCTCAACTCCAGTTCCAGGGGATCTGATGCCCTCTTCTAGCCTCTGTGGGCATTACATGTCATGAGTACACTTACATACATGCAGGCCAAAACTAAAAAATTTAATTTAAAAAAAGTTTAAATGCTTGGCTAGATGATATCCAACAAGAGAAATTCTTAATTATACCACCAGTGGTTAAGAATTATATGCTCAAATTATGCCAACTTAAAAAACAAATAAAAAATTCCATGATTCTTCAACCCTAACATTTTTATAGTGTTTTCAATGCTTGCTCATATAAGATTCAACCACAATCAACTTTTTCTGTTCAAGAATAAACTAATCCCTTAAATTTTTATTTTATACTTTTCTAAGATTTTTGTCTAGAAACATTATCAGTATGTGGTATTCTCCTTAAGCAACCTCAACACCATTTGAAATGAAAATAGTAAGGAGGGAATAGGAAAATATCAAGAATCAAATATCAAGAAATATCCAGAAATAAATAATAATACAGAAACAAGTTCACTGGCCCGGCTTATGTAACAGAACTAAACTAACATTCCGTTGAAAAGTTTGTTTGACATAAAGACAATTTTTAAGTCTGTAGACACTATTTACTGTCTGTGGTTCTATTTTTGAGACAATATGCAGTAGCTATACAGTTGTTGCTAACTATATAAATCTTCATATAACTTTTTTGGTAAACCCGTTTCCTAGGATTCTAGCCCAAGGTTACATTAAAAATGTAAACAAAAATGTACATGAATTTTGGGTAATAAAACTCAACCTAAAATGTATCAGGAACACTTTAAGGATGGCACTCGGCTGTTTGCAGCATCATGAAATACTTTTTTAGTAACTAAAGCCCATCCATTAACTTAATTCTCAGAAGCCTTGCCTTATTCAAAGTAAAACCTTTTAAAATCAGTACATGAATGAACAATTTGTCTTCTCTGGCCTGAAGATGATTTCAGACAATAAATGCAAATGAATGCCTTTTAAACTATTTTGGCTAGGAAATGACATCTAATCTTTTAAAGATTACAATAAAGGAGTTCTTCCCCAGCCATAGAGCAGATGAGCACTTTCAACTTCTCATCAACTGGGTCTTACTTCTGCCCAGAAACATAAGAGCTAGGATTTTCTTTTTCCTCGTCACACGTCAAGTCTGCTCTAGGGAGAGTTGTGTGGTTTTATTGTCGATTAAGGATACCTGAAAGCTGTAAATGGTCTCCTCTGGCTGGAAAAACATCAGAAACAAGCACAAGCTAGAATTAAGAAAAAACAAACAAAAACCCAGAAACAAACCCCTACAGAATCATAACTGCTTCACCGGAATAGCCAGAAAAGAGACCAACTAAAAGAACATAGTCATTAGGTTTTTTAAAAACACAACTTCAAATTTAACATTTTTCTTTAAAATCCTTTCTTAAGTAACAAGCGTTTGTGATCGGAACTGTACTAAATACGAGAGGTAAAAGGTATAGCAAAGGTAGGATTGTTTTAGGGGTGGGGGGGTTGTGTGTTTTTGAGACAGGGTCTCCCTGTAGCCCCAGCTGGGCTGGAACTCACTATGTAGACCAGGCTGGCCTTGAACTCACAGAGATCTACCTGCCTCTGTCTCCCAAGTGCTGGGATTAAAGGCGTGAGCCACCAAGCCCCACCAAGGTAGGATGTTAACCTGTTCTGAAACCACTCAGAGACACCTGGAGAAGTAGACTTCTTTCTGTTGTCTTGTAGGAACTGAAGATACTGAGCGACTGAAAACAGGAAGATGCTGTGCCAGCAATAATCATATGTCTAGCACAGCTACTGAAGGAATGGGATCTCAAGCATTTTTGAATAAATTAATGAGTATTCAAAATGGAGATTACCACTTTGACATTTAATGCTTTATAGATGTTCATCTAAATTTGACAATGATTACGCCCACTGGCTAAAAAAAATAAGTAATATTTTAAAATTATCTAGCTGTCTTTACAAGTGATGGTCAAAAGTAACTTGTAAGAAGTATCTTACGGGCTAGTAAAATGACTCAGTGGGTAAAAGCCCTTGAGGCAAAGCCTGCCCACCTGAGCTCCAGCTCTCAAACACACAGTGGAAGAACAGACCAGAAAGCTGTCCTCCAACTTCCAGGTGTACCATGACACACCCTCCTATCATGTACACACACATACCAAATAAAGATGCAATATTTAAAAGATTACTTTGTGTTCAAAGTAATCCAAATTTTTTAAATATCAAGTCCATAGGTGAACTAAGTAAGAGATTTAAGGTATTACTTTATTCCTAACAAAGTGGTTAAATAAATTAGAATGCCCTACATCCTCCAATATATCGGAGGAACTGTGCTGTGGAGAGAGAGCTCACCAGTGGGGTCAAGTGCTTGTCAGACAGGCCTGGGGTGAAGATTTGAGTTTAATCTCCAGAATCCATGTTAAAAAAATGGAAAGGAAAGGAAAGGGAAAAAAAAAAAAAAAAGTTGGGCATGGTGGTGTATGCTTGTAATCCCAGAGCTAGAAAAGTATAGACAGGTGCATTTCTGAGGATCACTGGCCGGCCAGGCTAATCTAATCTACCTGGAAAGTTTCAGTACAAAACCCTGTCTCAAAACACGATACACAAGGACAAGAGGACGACATCCACTGTTGACTTCTGACCTCACCGTGACACAAACACACACACAGAAGAATCTTTCTTCAAAATTCTGGCTTATCATGAGATATTGTACAGCACTAGAGCAAATTTAAGTTTTCTTTTGCAATTTTAGTTTGAGACACTGCCTCTTAAAAACTGCCGTCTTTCTAACTCATCTTAAGGAAAAGTTAAAACTCTCTGCTCATGTACTAGTTGCTGCTGTATAAAAAAAATTCACTACAAAACTTGGCAGCTTAAAACATTCATATGTCAGGAATTATTTGAGGCAGGAATTTGGAAACAGCACAGCTGGTTGGTTTTGGCTCAGGAATCCTAAAATTCCAACAGGAAACTTTGTGGGTCTCTTGTGAATCTTACCAGGGCCCACTCTTTTAGATAAAAGGCATGCCCACAAACCTGTGAGGAACGCTTCGCCTTCAAATTCAGCTACGGGATGCATCCTCATGCGTCTTTAAAACCTTACAACTTGAAGGAAAATGTTTTCAAACCCAGTAGGGTCCTGGAATTCCAGCACACGGAAGGCCTCATGAGGCAGGAGGATACAGAGTTTGAGGGTACTACGGGTTATACAGCGAGATCTTGAATAAGGGAGGAGGACAAGGAAGGGGAAGGGGAAGAGGAAGAGGAAGGAGGAGGAAGACGAGAAAGATCAAAGGAACAAGGAAAAGGAAGAAGTGGGGGGGAATCGGAGGCATTCTCTCAGATCATTCTGAAGTAGAATGAAAAAAGGGGTGGGGGGTGGGCACGTTCCTCCAGGCACCACTTTAGCAGGAACGCAAGAACATAGTAGATTGTTCTGGCTTCAGATTCCTCATAAGAGTGCAGTTAAGACATTAGTCACACCTAGTTATCAAAAAGCGTGTTGTGAGTAGACTTCTGCCTGTCCAATGCCTAAGCAATATGGTTACTGACTAGAGACCTCACTTCTGTGCCACATGGGTGTCTTGAATACCATCATTCTATGGCAACCAGGTACTCCCTAGAACAAGTGATCTCCAAAGGAGAGCTGGAGGGGCACTGCAATGTCTCTTATGAGTGAGTTACTCTTGCAAGCGGGGGGAGGGCACACACTGTCACACCACCTACTACATTCTCTTTGTAAGGTAACAGCCTCTAAATTGAATGTCACTCATGTAATGGGGTTTGGGAAATTATATTTCACCAAAGGAAAAAATATTTAAAAACAAAACATGCATTTTCTTTACTAAAACCAAGAATTAAAACATAAAATGTGTTCTTATTGACACTGCATCTGAACGAAAGCCTAGCCTGGCATGGTGGTATCTGCCTATACTCCTAGCACTTGGGAAGCTGAGGCAGAAGCTAAAGGCTAGCCTGCGTTATAATACAGGAAGCCCCCTTCCCCCAACCCCAATGTTAGGCAAAAACTTTTCTAACGCAACTAAGATTTTACATAACTTCTTTGGGAAAACACACAGTATTGGACTGAGGCCACTGGGAGAAACTACTGGGAAGTGTTGGTCGCAAGAAGCCAGCAACAACCATTACCCACACTGCTTTTTGCTAGGTTTCTAGCAGCCTTTTCTCGTTTACTATTCCAGTTGCCTCTATGATAAACAGATCATTCCTTCTTTTTTGGAGTGATAGATTTTTAACCTTTTTTTACTCTATACTGAAGACTTGAAATGTATGGTATGAGCCGTGACTGTGAGTATGCAAAAAACAAGTTTTCTTTCTCTTTTTTTTTTTTTGGAAAAAAAACTACCTTTTCAAACAATTATGTCTTGCAGCAAATTTTCCCTTCACCATTTTATATATAGAAATTAGAATCAGAATCTGAAACCAGATCAGATAAGCATCAACACGATAATCACGAAGACAGTCTTAATATGTGAAAACTATACTTCGTAAAAAGTGAAGTTGTACCAAACATTTTTATCATAAGGGAAGAGTTTTTAAAACATTTCTTCGACTTCTAGTCCCTTACTTTGACTGATAATAAAATAAAATGCAATCATGGAAAATACTTAACTAAAAATGTATCTACTTTATAGAACTACAACAGTTTTTAAAAAATAAAATATATTCTTATACAAATACAATAACTCTCAGACATAAAACAGAAAATGCTAATTAAGAGTACATCTACTTAAAAAATTCAGTTGAAACAAAAAAGACTTATTTTTAAACGTGTGGAAGTAATTAGGACTTTAACCGTTGCTATACATCTCAAATCTTCTAAACAAACTTATCTTCTGATTTTGGAAGTACTAATTTCAAGCAACTATGTACAGAAAACATTTTGCCATCTTTAGGTAAGAATTATTTTAAAAATAGTATGGATGCTATGATCTACATAGGGAGCTCCAGACCAACTGGGGCTACAGGGAAACCCTACATTTTTAAAAGCCATATAGCTCAGTCTCACAGTCTAAAGACAACAAAACTAGAGGATAACAGTTTTTTGTTTCTATTACTCAGTATATTAAGAGAAAATTTGTAAGAATTTTAATGATATTCCCAAATTTACTTTTGCTTCAATTTTTCTCAAGTAATATTAAGCACACTCACAAATAAATTGTAGACCTCTGTTTTGGGTATATAATGAAATCACTGATCAACAAGAAGAACTGTTTCTCTTTTTAAGCCTTTTAGGGAATATCAACAAACTGCTTTGTTGAAAAATGTACCAATCCATGTTTTCTCCAGTGGTGCATCAATCTGTCAATCTCACAAACAGCATGGGAAAGTAGTGAGGCTTTTTTTGTTATGAATATTACCATAAATTTCTTTCTTTGACAGTTTCACACATGAGTATTATATTTGCGTTATTTCAGCCCCTTCCAGCCCCGCCTCCCCAGCAGCATTTTTCAAATTCGTTTGTCACACGGTAACTAAAGCACATTCTCTGCTGATACCAATTAAGCTAAAAACCAAAGGTGTCTATTCTTTGGCAACTTACAATTCCTTTTCTGTGAACTCTTTCTCACCTACCTTTTTAAAGAATATTTTTATTAATTCTTTGAGAATTTCACACAGTATATTTTCATATTTCCCCATTCTTTCCAGATCCACCCCCACCTCCCTATCCAATCAATTTTGTGCCCCCACCAACTCATTAAGTCCAATTTGAGCTGTTCAAATCCTCTTGGGTGTGGAGCCTGCCCTTGAGTGTGGTCGACCTACCAGGGTCAGACCCTTAAGGAAGGTCAACTTTTCCTCCCAGCAGCTTTCAAACACCAAGGACTCCTGAGCTGGGGTAGGACTCTGCATCTGTACCGTCCCCTCCATGCTGGGACTTTTGTCTGACTTGAGCTTGAGCAGTCTCACACATACTGGCATAGTTGGTGTGTCTTGTGTACCTTTTCTTCTGGAAAGTATGGAAGGTTAGTGATGTGAATTTGTCAGTTTGAGTAGTCTACATGTGGTGTGCAGCTGCCTAATAAAATACCAATCTAGACTTTGCCATGAAGGTTATGTTTTACACATGACTGACATTTCCATCAGCAGGCAGTAAGTGAAGGAGACTCCCCCTCAGTATGTGACGCCTCGTCCACACAGTTGAAGACCTGACAAGAAAGCACTGAGGTCTGCCTGGAAATCCAGATCAACACTGCAGCATGCCAGCCTACCTGCCTGCCACATTACCTGCATGCCTGGTCCACAGATTTCAGACTTGATAGCCTACAGTCTTAGGAGCCAATTCCTTAAAAATCAAAACAAATCTCTTTGTACATTGGTTCTGCTTCTCTAGAAAATCTAGGCAAATATGTCTTTGAAATTTTCTTCACAATTTTGCAACTTTTTTATTAAGCCTACTGATATCCTGCAGAGCCTTCTTCTCAAATTCCCTTCAAGCCAAACCACTTACTTGTAAATCATCTTCTGCTCCTTCAGCCTCATTTTTTGATGCTGGACACCCTAGAAAAACAGGTCAAAGTTAATTAGGCATAGAATTTTTGCCTTAGATTTTATTATTAATGGTTACTCGATTGTGTCATTATAGTATTTGAGAAGACTGATCAGAGACTGACTTGTGGATTGCCTAGCAACACATTCAAACACCAGCCACCTGTACTTGCTTTTTTGTTAGAATAATAAAGTGACTATCTCTCCATCATCTGTTGGCTGATTTCCACTTACTTTCTTATTTCTTCTAAATACTCCAACTGCTAACTAAGCAGACGGTGTTACACTCCTTTGGTTGTTTAAGTAATGTCAATTTGATTAATTCAAGTTTCCCAAATTGTCTGACCCAGGAATGACTAGTGTCCACAGGATTTTATTTGCTTCAGTTCAAAAAAAGAGACGTCAAGCTACTATGGGCAGTTAAGGCCCAACTGACTGACTTGTAAGCACTCAGGTCTGAATAGGTCTTCATGGTGCTCACATTAAGGCAAAGTGATCTTCGGCAGCCAAATATCCATGTTTATACTTGAGAGACACAAGCTAGCACAGACAGAGCAGGCATGAAGTGAGAAGAAATTTGGCCTTTGTAAAAGCTCAGTTTATTCTTTTGGTATAAAAGCTAAGTAAAGGAAATTTAACAAGACTGCTCGAAAGTTCAGAGAACAGTGTTAATGATGCTATTTAATGCTTAAAAACAAGAAGACAGGCTGAGTATAACACTATAGTAAACCTGGCTAGAATTGATACATTAAAACCAATCAGTAAAACACTGTGAACCCAATTTACTTGATCCTAGAAAAAATAGTATTCTCTTACAGGGTAAAATAAATTCAAAACTTCAAAATGCATCACTTAAACTTTAGCAGCTATGAATGAGTTTTATCTTTCAAGCACTTGTTTTACAAAACCTAAATAAAAATTAGAATCAACTGTGGATCGTTATAAAATATGCCACAATTAAGCATATTTTCATGCACTATCAAAAAACATTTCATGTTAAACATTTCCATGTTCATGCCTGGTTTTCTCTTACGTAGTTTATTTCTTCACACTTTCTTATAAAATGTAATCTTAAGACTGTAACATTTTGATAGCTACCTTTCAGAAAGTTACTTCTATTAAATAAGGACCTTTTCCTTCTCAATTGGGGGAAAAATCTTAAGTTATTCTCCCCCTATGAAAAGAAATGGGTTTAAATGTGATCTTTTTAAGTGAACACATATTAGGTCTTATATGAAAATAAATTTTCACTATTCAAAATAGCCATCCTTTGACGTAATCATTTTTTTCAGACTAGAAAGACATATAAAAGAACATAGGAGGCTGCAGTCTCTGCCCAATCTCAATAATGAAATTACAAGGAGTCTACATATATTTGATTATTACAAGGTTTCTTTATAAAGCTCATTACAGAGAAAAGGGTGTGTGACATGTAATGACACATACACAAATGCCATACATCACTGTGATTTGGACAGCTTAGATTCACTTTAAAACATGTCTCATCTCAAGGTTGCTGACAGGCTCTTCATAATGATACATTCAAATGGTGTAGACTGAGATTTGATGATAATAAAACAAGCTAAGTAGCCTACCACTTGATCTTTACTTGTGTCAAAGTCTACCACAAAAGTCTACCACATAACACAAAAGCTTGGTAAAGGACAGTAACTACTTAAGTCAGTGTTTCAGAAAAAGAATCTCTAGTACAGCGATATAGTGAATAAATAGATTCAGAAAGTAATCAAGGCGCCTACCTTGAGATATATCCTCTATAGCTCTTCGAATGCCTCGGTCAAAAGCCCTAGCATCAGCAGGACTCTGAAAGGTAAGGCCGAACTTCTTGTCATCGATCTTCCAGTGGTGGAATGTGGGAGTGACCTTATTATAGATGAGGTCTTTTTTAAGCATACATTCCAAAACCACCTGCAAAGAGTCAGACGCCGAAGTTAATAAACATAGGAAATACATTTGACGTAGCTCTTACCTTCAAACAGCTCTGTAAATCAATGAATGTTTTTAAATAAATTGAGTTCTTGAAAGTAATCAAGGGATCAAGAAGACCATACAATGTTTATTATACCATCATTTAAAAGAATGCACATTCCCACACCACATTTCTAGAAGAACATACCTGTAATTATTCTGAGGAAAGGCTGGGGGGGAGGGGCGGGGGGGAAGACAGACACAATGGGAATGGTAACAACAATTCAGCTTTGTAAAATCACCCCACCCCCGTCCCTTAAGGTTCTGAGGAGCTAACCTAGGGCCTTGTGCATGGCAGGCAAGTGTTCTACCATGGACTATATCTCTAGCCAGTCTTTTCTAAATTTGTTAGGCGATCCATTCATATTTGAGGATGGAAGGGTCATAGCAGGTGATCAAATACCTGCTTTGACAATTTCTCAGAGTATTTACTAATGAGGTTATATAATGTCAAAGCTCTAGTTTCCTTATCTTGAAAATATGATAGTAGTATTAAGTATGTCCTAAAATGGAATGACTGATAAGTTTCATGTAATGCGTGGAACAATATACCTTTGTTTATTCATTTTTATTTTGAAATGATTTTCTCTATCAATGATGTAGAAAATTCTTTTTCCCTTTTACTCAGGTGAGTCACATTTGTTTTTACATATTCTCTGCATAGTCTCATGTATAAATTTTTCTGTTTTGTTTCATTTATGTGTGTGCTTTATTTTCACAGTGCTGAAAATTGCATTTAGGGCCTCGCACGTGCTAGACAAGCACTTTATCACTGAGCTTTATCCCAGGCCAACATTTATCCCAGGCCAACATTTTTATTTATTCTATTCTGAATTATCTCGAGGAAGTGGCTATTTTATATTCCACTGCTCTTGAATACTTGAGTATGTTTCTTAAGACACTGCTGTTCCATGGAATCCCAGAACACTGATCAAATTCAATACATTTGACACTGAGACACTTTTATCTCAGTTTTATTCTATATTCCAATTCTGTCTGATAATAATTTTTATGGCATGTTTAAAGACCTTCCAGCACAGGGTCCCTTCTAGGACCACACATTCCATTCAGTCCTTCTGGATGCGGGAAAGCTCTCAGCCTTGCTCATTCCATACATTCACAGCTACTTTCTACGATATCAGTTGTCATTACTACATAAGAAAACCCATCAGCAAATGATCTAATTAATACTAAAACTAAAATAAAGCATCTTAGTTATTTTAAGAGTACTCTATAAGGAAGGAACAATTAAAAACAAACAACTCAGAGGCCACACACCCTACTGAATCCCTTCATGCTCACATGGCCTCAAGCCTCTTGCTTGCTGTCTAATGTCTATTCCTAGTGCTCCCCTCAAGACCAGGAACACCACAGGAGGCGGCACATTTTCTACCGATTTCTGGACCTGGAGCAGCATATAATATAAATTAAATGCTCAAAAACTTCGGTGAAAAGCTGAGTGTACCACTTCTCTCCTCTCTACTCTTCTCACATCACCACAAGCATGTCTTTTCCACGAAACAGAGCAGAAGCCCTCAGATAGCGTCACTATTCACACGTAACTGTGTGGCTGTTTTTTGTTTTTTTTTTAAATAAAAAGTAAAACCTTGCCTGTATTTAATATTATTCGAGAAAAAATTAGGAGCTACCTAGTTGGCTAAAAACAGGATAACAGTAATGGGGAAAAAAGGTAAATTCTGGGAAATCATTAAGATAAGTGGTCTCTCTATACTACTAAGCTAAGAGTTAAAGGAGAGTGCTGAAGAAGGGTGCAAAATTGTTACTTTTCTTGTTGCTGTGACAGAATACCTGGCAAAGGTAACTTCAGAAGGCAGGGTTAATTCTGGGCTTGGTCTGAGCAGGTAAGTCCACTATGATGGGTAAGGAATGGAGGCCAAAGTGAGCTGGCCATCCATTGTGTCCAAATCAGGAGGTAATTAGAAATAATCTAGTGCCATTTCTTCCTCTTTTATCTAATGGGGCTCCAAGACTATGTGATGCTGCCACCCATATTCCAGATGTGTCTTCCTTCCTCCTCAGTTAAACCTCCCTGGAAGTCATTCCAAATCTGGTCAAGTTGACAAACATTAACTGTCACAGGTAGGAAGTGAACATGAATATTGTTTAAAAATTCTTACTATTTATTACGTGTATGGGTGTATTGCCTGAATGTGTATAACTGCACCTGTGTCATGCAGTGCCCATGGATGACAGAAGAGGGCGTCAGTTCCCCTGAACTGGAGTTACAGATGGTTGTTAGCCACCATGTGGGTCCTGGGAATCAAACTCAGGTCCTCTGCAAGAGCAGTCAGTGCTCTTAACCACTGAGTCATCTCTCCAGCCCTGAGCATGAATATTTTTGAGCAAAGTGTCCAAACAAAAGTATTAAGCTATAAAAAGCAGAACAAGGAGAAATACAGCATGTATATTTCTCAGGGACAAAGAAAAATGGTGTAAGAGAAATTTGGTGTAGCAATTTGTTAAGTCTGTGGATCTTTTGCCAAGGCCAGTAGGATCCATCTCATCTCTACACCCTTTACTGTCCAGTTCACTTTTAGGAATTAAGTGAGGTAACACACCAAAAGTAATGGTTAGTGATAACTTGAAAGACTCTAGAATCCCATGGGACATGGGTCCCTGAGCATGCCTGCAGGGAATTACCTTGATTGCTCCATCCTTATTTTGGCGAATTCACTGTTCTCTGCTTCTTGAACGGTGATGAAAATAAAATCAAAACCAGGAAGTACTAAGACGATTTGGACTACCATTAAGATGTTTGATCTATGAGCCACAAATGTAAACCTCAAAAACAGTCTTCAAGATATGAGGAACATTTAAATTAATAATTTGCTCATAATATAAAATATATCTTGACAAAAATTATGGACTATATCATTTAAAAATAACGCAAAAATAACTCTTTAGTAAACATAACTCCTCCTAAATGCAGCCTGAGAATCAGATGACCCTTGGAATCAATAAATAACTATATATAAAAATGTGGGCCTGGGAGTGCTGGGTGGTGAGTGGAAGACTACGCAGTGGCCATGCGTTAGGACCTGGGTCTGAGGGGAACAGAAGGGTGAGAAGAGAGCACAGGGAAGGGAAAGGAAACTCTACGCAGGGGAACTAAGTCAGAATTTTAAAAATGGAATTTCAACACTAAAACCTCAGCAGAAAAGAAAATCAGAAAACAAAGAACTCAATGTCAAACTTGCAGTGTTAGAAATGAGTAACAGGAGCCTGAGATAGAAGAAATCCTTTTTGCTCCACTTCCTTGCCTGTTAGGCTAGGGGTAGAACGCATTCCTGCTGTAGCCAATGCACCATAATGATCTATTCTAGTTCGACTGGCCAAAGAAAACTCCTTCATGCTTACTCTTGTGGCTTTTCCATGCAACCCTATCTTTCTGTCTAAGTGCTCCTTTACTTCCTACAAAATGGAAAATGTCACAGGGCACCCAGGCAAGAATGCACACTAGAAGGGTAAATCAGAAAATTTCCCACAAAGAGTGAGATGTCATGGGACATCCCAGGAAAGGATACATACTATGACAGAATCAGAGAACCCCAACTTGAGAAAGAGGTTACAAAATGAGAGGCTGTACTCTCTGTGTTTAAGCCGTGAAAGAAACACTGAGGAATTGCTTCATTTTAAAGAGTAAAAGAGGCTTAATGGTAAAATGCTATAGGAACTTTCAGAACAAAAGTTTAAGAAAACTATTAGATAGCTGGCAAAATTGGGCCTATAAATTCAAGTACTATATTTAAGCTAAATTCTCTCAATATAATAACGGCTTCTCATAAGAGAAAACACTTAAGTCTTGATCTTAGGAAAAGCAGGCTGAGCATTAAGAGGGTGAAGGCAGGTTATACACAGATCGGGAAAAGTCATGGGGATGATACAGTCAATGTGACAAATGTCAAAAATTGGTAAATTTGGAAAAACAAGGTAGGTAGTATTCTCGCCAACTCTGCAAGGCGGTAACTGAAATGGGAGAAGAGTGAATGAGTAGCCTATTACATGCTAGGATGGAGAAAACAAAAAAGACTGCAAAAGCGCTGTGAACAATGAAGAGCACGATGCCAAGGTTTACAGCCCCTAACCTGAAAACCTAAGTAGAGGACCCCATTTCCGGGGAAACTGTAATACACCAACATTAACTGGAAAGCAGCGTAACACTAGAGACTGCAATTACTAAAGCAAGCAATAAAAAGCAATGCACTGGGTCCCACTGCTCCTCTGCAAAGTGCATCAAGCACTACAGGTCATCCTACAGAGTACAGCCTGTCAAAATGGACCTATATTAGGACCCTGCTCCAACATTCTTGGATATGAGCAACGCTACCCACTTCCTGACCCTTCTCACAGGAGGCAGTGTCTTTAAATGCCTTGCTAGAGCAAATCTAGTAAGCTTAAATAAATTTCTCCTCCCTAAACAGTCTCCATAATTGAGAGAGAACTCATGAAATTCTGACGGACTCTGTCTCAATGACCTTAGAATAGCCATGACATTTTATATGCCAACTTACACAGCAATACATGAATACAAAAACCTCCAGAAACACAAGAATATCCAAAAATAGTAACTGTAGATCTCCAGTGGTTGAGAGCTAAAGACTAAAAGCATACAAAGTATTTTATCAATTAAAAAATATGGTTAAGGCTGGATGTGGTGGCGCACACACCTTTAATCCCAGCACTTGGGAGGCAGAGGCAGGCAGATCTTTGTGAGTTTGAGGCCTGCCTGGTCTACATACTGAGTTCCAGGACAGCTGGGGCTACAGGGAGACCCTGTCTCAAAAAAGACAAAACAAAAAACAAACAAACAAAAAAAAACAGTTAAATTACACAAAGCCAAAACTTTCTATTTCTAGGAACTAAGAAGAACATTCTAAGTCTGTGAATCTAGTGTTAGAAAGAAGAGAATTTAATAATTC